GGCGGCCTGTTGCTGATGCTTCGTACCGGCCACGATGCTGCTGTGTTAAAGTGTAGTCAGCCAAGAGCTTCAGACAATTCAATTTGGGTCTCTCGAATAGTTGCTGGACCATATATCTCGGCTCTTCTCCCAGGGGGTTGCCATTTTCTCACGTTCTGTTGCATAAGAGCTTGAAACACTTTAGGATTTGCCTCGATCGTAGTCCGTCGGTGGTGGTATTAGAACTTGAATCCTTGACACTCAAAACTACTGATGTATCAAAGGATTATAGTGCTGCATGTCAATGACTTGCTCCAAGTTGTCTTCGCTGAAAGATTTATTCGGAGACAGCATTCTAACACGACAACACTTCGTTTTCACTGAAAAACATGGGATTTGTTTTTCTTAGAAATCACGTGATTTTGCGTACGCCGTAACGCAAGTCCTCCGTGCGTGATCACCTTGAAAATATTTTTTCATGTGTGGAATTTAATAAAGTTTAAAGGACAAAAAAATCATTAAGGTTCCTTGGCCTATTTTATTTTTGTATAATAAAACGTCAATCCAGAACAGTCTAAAACATTTCATGTCGAATACTTCGTTTTGAAGAATATCGGGGATAAAAAACTGACCAATGTTATTTGAAGAAACAAGTAAAGATATCAGAACTTAAAGCATATTGTTGACACTCACATTTAGACAAGTAAATTAAACAATTTTAGTATACAGTCGAACATCCATATGCAACCACCTCTCGTAAGCGAACACCTTCCATAAGCGACCACCTATCCAAAACACCGAAACTTTCCCAGTTAAAGCCTTACAGTTGGATTTATAAACGACCACCTCCTGTAAGCGTCCGAGAGCAATTTTTGTGCCTGAAAGCTTTTTGATTTTCTTTTGTTTCAGTAACCTCTTGTAAGCGACCACTTGACGCATTCTCTGATCTCTCTGTTCGCTTTGTCCACTGTGCTACCCTGAATATAGGAAGAACTTTAGTGACGACGTAGAAGTAGACATGGCGTAACGTAGAAATTGCATACAGAACATAGGTTTCGTATCGTAAAACAACTTCCATTTCACTTCGCACCACGGCAGATTCAAGAATAAAACAAAACAGGTAAGATTTTATCTCTTATCTAATTTCCATTTGCAGTTTACAAATAAGAGCGTGGGTTCCCTTAATGACCACGAGGTGAAGCCGAGTGGCTTTATACCCCGATAAAACCCGACCCGCTCGTTTATTGAACGGCTTCAAAAACATTCCTGGAGATGCGTGTCTCAACTCAGTTGATAACAATGATGCTTTTGTGAACGTTGGAAATTAGCATATGAAAAAAACATTACGTATGAAATTATTATGAAAGAAAATCAAATCTCACACATGTTTAGAAATTTTCCCTTCTACAAACGACACTAACCGAAGAGGACATAGCGTCTCGTTCCAGAGCTTTTCAGAAGCCTAAAAATGTCGAGGAAGAGAGGAAGTTAATTGAAACTGGTACTCCAAAGTCAACTATTCCACTGAAAAAGTATGCTTTTTCTGGCATGGCCGAACGGTAGGTATACATATAAACAAAAATCCAGTACTCGAGCCTTGCGTATTCACAACCTGCAAGTCTTGAGTGCAACACTTGGACACTGCTATAGCAATATTACCGCTGTGTCACTGAACTTTTGGCTGATTAAAATGGTGAAAGAACAAAGTTTAATTTTTTGCAATAGTAAATTTATTGCATGTGTTATTTTGAAAGAACATTAAATATTCACCCACCATTTGTTTGTTGTGTCAGTTGCTGTGCTGATAATTAATATTCATAGGTCACGTGCAATGAAATAGAATGTCATCCTTATTAGTATTTTTTATATGAAGAATACTAATGAAATTTTTAAGTAGAGAATATCAATGAAGCAAAATGCAATCAGCCCGGCACTCCCCTGAGACTGAAATCAAATGCCGCCCCCAGGCTTTTCAGTTTGACAGTGTTTTACCGGGGTTTAAAACACGAGCACGTGACGGATTTTAGCAGACGTGATAGGTTGTTGAGCTCATGGATTATTAATGAGGTTTTGAAAAGCTCGACGAAATGTTTACCACTACAGAGAAGACTGAGGCCGTTTTGTTACTATTTTGTAAACACGGGATTACCTCGAAAGACGAAATTTGCATAGAAATAGAAGTCAATTTATGGAAAAAAGGACAGCAAACATTTTCGAAAATTGTACGTGCCAGAAAGTTAACAAGGCAAAGGACATTACAGATAAGCAACGCTCTCCTCGATAGTAGCCGCTGTTGACAGCATTTTCAAGAAGCGGAAAAAAGAAAAAACAACAACAACAACAACTTACCCATTCACGGTGAGTCTATAGAAGCAAACAAAGCTCTACTCACAAGGGGTTGTAATTTTATTTGTGGACGTGTTCTTTTAAACCATTGATGCTAAAGCTTACAGATTAAAACCGTTTTAATTATAGGCTATGATTTGCCATGTTTGAAAATACTGTAAAGATCTCACGTTTGCGCATCTACTGTTCACGGCTACTTCCTTGCATGAATTAACTCATCAATCAAACTGATCGTTTTTTCAATGGTTTCCTTTCTAATTCTGTTGAGATCACTTCGTGTGTATATGTCTACATACTAAATCTAGTGGCCTTCTTAAAACTTCTGTCTCTCTTATTAGGATGTGTCGGCGTAATTTGAGGACACTTAGCTCTGCTCCCTTTCTTGGTCGTATTCAGGAAGAAGGTATAATTAGGTTGATGTACTAAGGAAACTAGCGTGCATATGCGCTGGGGTTTCCCATATTACGTGGAAACAATCAAAGAAATCAGTTACATCGACTATTACAGCACTTATTGTTAAAGAAGACACTTCAAAGCCTTGTAAAAGTTATAAGTGCGCATGCGTGCTCAACTAATAACCCTGGCTACGAGATAAGTGTTCAACGTAAGGATTGAATTTAAAAGGAGTCTTCCTTTTCGATCATGTCGTCCTCTTGGATGAAGGCATTTCTTCGACTCATCTGTTCATCTTGGGTAGTGTACAAGGCTCCGACCTTGTTCCTGTACATGAATCTTCGGGCAAGGCGGTATTTAACAGCTAAAACAGCCAAGGCTATGATAGCAATCAGGGCCAGTCCCCCCACGGCCGCTGCACCACCAGTCAAAGCAGTTTGTTGGCTTTTCCCAGTATCTATCACAAAGGAAAAAAATAAACCTCCATAGTTAGACAAGGCTAAAGGTAATAAGAAAGAGAAGGGAAAGCTATTATAAGTGACAGACGGATATGGAGTGTGCATGTATTCACTAAAGTGGCCAGCAATTGTGCAAATTCTTGCGACAAAACAGAAAAGTGTTTAACTCCTCTAGGACTGATTTGGGAGTTTTAATAGTTTTCAGAGAATGAGTTATGCAACTCATAATGTTTCTGGATGTAAATAAAGTAAATGTGTTTACCATTTACTTGTTTGTTGCATAGTTATTAGAGTATTTTTAGCAAATTAAAAGTAAAAAAAAAAAGAAGCATAACTTCGGCATACTTTGCAAAAAGGTGCATAATTCACAAAAACTAGCATAATTATTGGCATAATTTTAAAAATATACGAGCACAGTTACTTTTGCGAGCACAATCTATCAAAGCCTATTTAATTAAGAATGCAATGAAAGCCAAAACAAGTGATTTCTAGAGTCTATTCCATTCATTCTTAGTCCGGGATACGGTCCATCGAACACGCCCTCAGTTGTCTGTGCGGCCTACCTCCTGCGTCACGTTTTTCTATCTTCGTCTCCTTCTTAGTCTTGATGATAATTGGGCCGCTGGAGAGAATATGTCTGCTTGTACTCTCCTCCTCAACTGCGTCTCGTTTCTTTCTCCTTTTGCTACTTAAACAACCCCGGCTGCATCTGTAAACAAAACCTTTGGCTTACAAAGTGTCTTACTTTGCTTTTGTTCAACCGCTTTCATATTGCATATTGTGCCAACTCTCCAGGATTTCCTGGAGTCTTCCGAATAAAATCGACGTTTGAGCTATTCTATGCTTTAGTTTGGAGTTTAGCCCATTCACCCCCAAAATTCGATTTTTTTTATTCGTAAGATGGTTTTTTTCTTGGGATAATAGGATACTGGGCCGGGGATAATGCAAATTATTACAAACTGAATCATTGGATAATGCAATTCTAGAGCTCCGATTGGCTTGGCCATCATGGTATACAGCTAGTTCGAGAACGGTTGTCGGAAAAAGTGCACGCGACAATCCCGAGATTGTGGGCGGTTTTCAGTTCACTGTTTTTCAAACAAATTTCAAAAAAAATGGCAAGAGAGGCCATGGACGTATGTTTGCGAGTGTTAAAGGAAAGCAACAAAAGAAGGTTCGACAGCTACAGTGTCAGGAACAAGTGTATTGATCATATCCCATATTACCTTTCGGGATTGTCGCGTGCACAGTTTTTGCGACAACCTTTCTAGAAATAGCTGTATACGAGCCATTATACCATGCTCTCCAAATATGGTAACTTAACGCGTCTGCTCAAAAGTAAAAACAAGCTGAAAATCGGTGGGTTTTACAAATAATGTAGGTAGGAATTCTCGATATTTTGAGGATGTTTTAATAAACAGAACAATTGTTCTACTCGCGCTTGTTGGCCATCTACCATCTCATGTCTAAGGCGCACTCGTGGAGTAATTGTTAAATGGACAGTATCCAGATTTTAGATCACCAGAGCCGTTAGCATTTCAGATATGGTGCAAATCTCACTTGCGGCAAGACATAGGACTGAAGCAACCGTCGTAAAACTATGATAAAGAGTGGAGATCCCCAGTCTTTTCAACCTAATATGTTATTTCACGCTTGGAAATTTTTGTGCCAATTTTGGCCAAGTTTAGTGTCCCCAGTTTCCAGTCCCTAATTAGCAGTTCTATAGCGCGGTCATTTGGCAGCCATTTTTGCTCAAGAGTCCTGGTCAGAATTTGGCCATTTGCGGAGGAATGGGTACTAGGGGAGTTTTTCCCACTCAAAAACAAATTTCTACAGGCTTTAAGCTTTCTGTTGATATGCGATTTGCATGCGTTTACATCTTTCTTCTGCAAAATTTTTCCTTGTACTTTTACTCTCTGTTTCATGCACACTGAGTTCGCAGTCCTTCAAGAAAAATTGAGTATTTTTGTCGAAAATTTTCTCGCTGGGAAACGTATTATTGCCAGGTATGATATCGTAAACAGAAGACCTGAAACCTCGGCTGTGTTTTCCTCGTTTTGGTTTTTTACCGGATGCCTCTGGTTCTTAGAGATTTTTGCGTTTATATGGTTCGCTGAGCGGTTTACATAGGGAGCAAGTCACGAAGAAAGAGCACTACATCGAAGAAATGCAAGTCAAATTTTCCTGTTGGGGAGCTCAGTAAGCAGAGGGCTACGCTTCGAGCGGAGTACCTTTTGAAATCAAAGGAATTTGTACCTTAAAAAAAAGGCTTCAGCTACTCAAGAATAAGGTAAGTTTAGCTTGAAAAAGTTTTTTTTAGTAAAAGGAGAGGACTACCGTGTGGCACGAACATTTTGCGGGTTCTTATTTTTGCGATTTTTCCATCGATCCGCTAAAATTTACTCCAGAGTAAATGTTCTCTAAGTTAAATTCGCTACATTCCTTTCGTACAGAAGTAGTGGGAAGAAGTTGATAAAATATCAAGCAAATTCATCTTGTGTGATCATGTCCGCAATTCTCATGACCACTCTGTTTAACAAAGTATTTATATCACAAGGAGAAATTTGATGCTGATCATTCATAGGGCTTAAAGGGTTAACTTACGTTCTTGAACTTGCAGAAAACTCGCATAAAAGAAAATGTTGATTTGGTAAAAGTTGATCTTCCCGCTGTCAAGACTAAAAGAAGGTTAGTTTTTGAAGTGACAGCTAACACATCCACTCTAAGAAAAAAAAGTCCAACTGTGCTCACTGATGAGGGAAAGCTAAACGTGCCGCAGCGAAGTGCCAGCAGAAGACAACTTGAAACGTTGGTTGCAGCAACAGCGGTAAATGGTGGATCTGTTGAAGACAGGTCCCCAGCCTTGGATGGCATGTTTTCTACGCTGACTAAATATGCGAAGACAGCAGCTCTATCTAAATACTTTTCTTCATCAAAAAAGATGAGAAAAGCTAGTCTAGCAGTAATAAAACCTCAGGTTAAGCAGTATGAGCAAAGTGATCATAATGTCATTCGTTCACTTTCTATGCTTTATGCAGGAGGATTGATGGGAAAGGTAAAATATGAGCAAACAAGATCAGCTCTTGTTATGAAATTTACTAAGAAACACACCAAGAAACTAGGTTCTGTGTCAAAAGAAAGAGTTTTGTTTGGTATGGGTATCCCAATTCCTAAACTCCTTCCCTATGGGTTGTTAATCAAAAAAATTGATGTGGGGGAATTTTATTCAATAAGGGAAACCCTATGCCATGACCTTCCACCTGATCAGCAGGTTGATGGGGTCTATAGAAACCTGGAGAACTTTCTACTTCTGCTGGCCAAGTTCTATTTTGAGACTGATCAGTACAGGAAACCTGGGGATAAACTGGTGTGGTTCAGTGAGAGGGAGGGAGAATTTAAAATTGCCATAGGGGGTGATGGGGCTCCTTTTGGGAAATGGGATAAATCTATGTCATGGCTGATAAGTTTTTTGAATGTGGGGCCCAGGGTAGCTAGTCCCAATGACAATTTTTTGTTATTTGGAGCTAATTGTAAGGAGGACCACATGGTCGTTTCTCGTTTTACAGTGAAACTTGCTACAGACATGGAAAAAATAGAGAGCAAATCTTACACAGTATTGGGTAAGAATGTCACCTTTTCTTTTGATCTCCTGCCAGGAGATATGAAATTCCTTGCATATATAAATGGGGAATTAAGTAATGCAGCTAAACATTTTTCTAGCTTTGCTAATGTCTCCAAAGATGACTGTAATGCACTGAATGGGAAGTATGGAGAATCTCATGATTGTAAGTGGAAGCCTTGGCAGTATGCAGAAAGAATCAAAGTTGCAAAACAGGTTGAAGATTTCAAGAAAAAAATACCTAGTCATTTAGCAGTATCAACAAAGAGATCCAAAGTAACTCAATTTATTGCTGTAAAAAAATCCAGACAAGAATTCAAACCATTAATTGGTAAGCTATGTGACAAGGAAGTTGCTGAACCACTTCACCTTAAGAATAACGGTGTCCAACATTTTCATGCAATGTTACTTGATCTTGCTATTTCTGTAAGTAACCTCCACCCAAAATTAAATAGTCTTGATGATTTGCCCTCCAATTCGGCAATGTCCAGATATTTAAAGGCCATGGAACAAGATGTTAAAGCAGGGAGAATGAAAAAACAACTAGATAGGTGGCTCCTTGAGGATAGAGCTAAAGATAAAGACTTCACTTACAGGTTAACTGGTAAAGATTCCCGCCTAATCTTGCATGGCTTTATGTATCTAGTGAAAGCAATTCAGGGTGACTCAAATGATCCCAAGTTGCTAATGCGACTTCTGCCAATTGTCTTCATTGGTATTCGACTCAGGGTTTTTAGGTATGGTAATAAAGATGAAATAAAGGAAAAATAAAAATTACTTGAGATAAAAAAACTAACTACAACATATATATATATATATATATATATATATATATATATATATATATATATATATATATATATATATATATATATATATATATATATATATATATATATATATATATATATATATATATATATATATATATATATATATATATATTAACAATTATTCCACGAGGGCGCGTTGGATATGAGATGATAGATAGCCAACGAGGCGCATAGTGCCGAGTTGGCTATAATCATTTCATATCCAACAAGCCCGAGTGGAATAATTGTTTTATTAAAAACGCCCACAAAATCTCGTTGAATTGCCCCGACTAAAACAAACCGGAAAAGACAAGGGACTTCCGCTATTGACATGTCACACGTCTATCAAAACTGTCAACGCGCGAACGGACTCGCCTAGACTGCATGAATGAAAAATCAAAACATTGTAGCGATGAACATTAGTTTTTTAAAAACTCATCGTGATTCTAGGATTTTACACAGCAGAACAGCTTAAAAAACCTGGCAGATAATGTGAAGGAAAGGAATTTTTAAGTGACAGCCGTCGAAATTACTATGAATTTGGATTTTCGATGCAGTTATAAAAGTAAGAACAACGGAGAAAAACTACCGGTATTACCTCGGTCGCTTGTTGTGAAGTTGTTTGAAGCCACAAGCTGGTTTTGCTGAACGAGAAAAGAAGCTATACTGCCGCCTCGATTGCTCTAGTGAATGGCTGCATAGCCTGTATTTGTAGCTGGTTACTTGTGATTTATATTCTTGATGTCGGATAAACAAGCTGCAGTTATCTATCGGCGAGTGACTTGATCGGCGAAGAATGGCTTCGCGATCATGAAGAAACAACACTTGTCTTCTTTCGTAGCTGGTCAAGGTACTTTAGTTCCATGTGTTTTCATGTGTTTTTCGACAAACTTTCAGACAAGCTCTTGTGGCTTTTTTGTTTGTTTTTGTCTTTTTTCTTGCGCTGAAATTGCATTTCTAGTATTCTAAGAAATGAATTAAAACGATTTGCTTCGGGCGCCGTTCTATCCTTCGCGAAAAAAAATCTCAGCTAGCTTCCAATTTTAAACTGACGCGTACACCGACCATATATGGAGAACATGGTATATTAGCTCATATACCATAACGGCTAAGCCAATCAAAATGCTAGAATTGCATTATGCAATGATTCAGTTTTTAATAAATATATATATATATATATATATATATATATATATATATATATATATATATATATATATTGCTACCTCAACTCATTAGTAACTTTATAGAAAACACTGTTCCCTCTTCAATGATGAAGGATACCAAAAGCATTCCAATGGCCATAATGTAATTTCAATTCCAACATTTCTTCTTTATATTTATATTTCATAATTCCATTCTTCCTTTCATCAACAATGAGTTTCACTTCCCCTTTTCCAACTCCTAGCTTCTTTGTGAATCCTTGGCAGTCCTCAAATTTATTAAATAGGGCACACAGTCTTCTCATACTTGAGAATGTTATTGTGACTGAATAAGGCTGCTCCAAAACATCTACACCAAAACGTGTAAGATTTACAACCCCTTTATTCAATAAATTCAATTGAACACTTCCTGTGGCATCGGGACGTCAAAACAAATCATCCAAGGATGGATTTTACTCATCCGCGGGTTAAGTCGGCGATAAATTCCTTTCTTAGCACGTATCATTGTGCGCTCCAACGTGGAAGATATGGGACAAATTTCATGCTGATATCGATCCCGAAGGGGACCGTATTTTCAATTCACAACAGCCTCAGCCACTTTCCCTAGCGCTTGAAATATTTGATCTAGATCTCTCAGCTTATGTAAATTTGAAATCCGCCGGGAAAAATTCGACTTCTGGCGATTTAATGCTCCTTTAATGCCACTAATATTTCCACTTGGTTAGGTTCCCTTTGAGCCGCCATCTTTTTTTTTTTATTCACATGGACCCAATCCTCCGCGCGGCCGTGAAAAGTTGGCCGAATTTTAGGTCAAAATTTCCAAGCGTGATTTCGATTACCATTTTACTTGTAGGTATTAAGGGTCTTGCAAATGTAGTTTCCTGGGTACCATGCTTATGAGCTTTAAGATATGCTGAATACAGCAAGAACATTTCAGGTGACATTGCAATTTAATTGCATTGCAATAAAGAGTAAGAATGGAATAAGAATATCATTCAATTCGGTGTGCGCAGATTAAGTATTGCTCCCTCGGTGTAACAGGGAGGGTTTACTATAGACATACCTGGAATTAGAAGTGTATCTGTAACAAGCCAACAACTCGCAGTGGAAGTAAACAACGTTATAGTCGTTGAAGAACCTGAACGTTCTAATTTTAAACTGCTGAGAACTCCCTGATGGATTAAACGTGTACTCCATAGTTGTATCTCGCTCGCAACTAGTGTGTAATGTTTAAAAACAGAAACGAGTTTTAGTTTTATACTATGGATGTTTCTGGGCGTTCCTCTGCTCAAAATGATCCCATCAAGAGGGTCTGAATGGGGGGGTCCATTTGTCGGTTGTCGGTTAAAATTCAGTTACTTTGTCGGTAGTCGGTTAGAATTTTCGATCTTTGTCGGTAGTCGGTTAAACTTCTTGAGTTTTGTTGGTTGTCCGAAAATCTCAGTTAATAAGTAAAAACGCTTGTTAATTATTAATATTTTTTATGTATTTCACCAAGTTTCAAGACTTTGATACCAAGGGAAAGAGTAAAACTTGTAAGAATGCATCATTTGATTGCCACTTAAACTTCATTAACTCTTGTTTGTTTATGCAACATGATCGTCAGGAGCCGATCGGCTCCTGTGGTCGTTTATTTCACCATTGTTTGCCAAATGAATATCATGCGTACTGATAAGATCACCAAACCTTTTACTGTAAATGCGAACTTGGTTTCCCTGTCGATTACACGGCACAGTAAAAAGTAATTACTTAATTAATGGACACCAGCCTTTTGGATACTTAAATTATCAGCTTAGTGGAAAACTGCAAGGGGTGACGGGCTGCACATCTATCCTTTGCCATAAGTTTCCTTCCTCAAAGAAATAACACTTTAACCCTCGGACATACAAGGGGTGGGGGGTGGATGCCACCCCCTTTAGGTTTTCTGGGATTTTTCCAAGAGGATAAAACATCAGCACCTGAGGTTTTTAGTAGATGTTCGTTTATCCCTCGCACGCATTTTGAGAAAAGTTCAGTGATGATCAGTTTCTATGGTTACGAGGTATGACGTAAGAAGTAGCAGGTTGTCAAGCCATTTTGAGTGAAAATATGTGTTTTTTTCAACTTTTTTCAACAATAAAAGAAAAATGTTGTAGCTAAAATCATGCAAAGTGCTTATTTATGTGTTATTACTCATGTCAAGCAAAAAACATTTCTCTTTGTTTTAACCTGTTTTGTAATTCTTTGTAATATCCAAGATGGCGGCAAAGATGGCGACCATCGTTGGTGACTTAACAGGCCTCCAGCAGTGCCACCATTCATAAAATATACTTCATCTTGTTAAGAAGATCAAAGGCTTTTCAGTGAAGGCAAAATCGCTTCAAAATACTGCAACATATCAAAAACTCTGGGGAGGGGTTCCATCTACCATCCTCTTGTACCATGGTGGGGGGTATGATTTTGCGTGTACGTCTGAGGGTTAAGTTGGCAAGGTAGTGCACAGGAAGAACGCCTTCATTTTGGTGTCTTTAGTGAAAAATTAAAGCTCACCAAAAGTTCTGTTCCATCTTTAATTACCTTTAATTGTGACATTAAATTTCCGAAAGGTTTTCTGTCCCTTTAGTTTACCTTTAATTGACCTTTTGGTTACATTAAAGACTAATAACCTTTAGGTCTCGTTTTAATTGTCTTTAATTTATTCCAAAATTAGCTATTAAAATGTAGCACCTTTAATTTCAAATTAAAGCAAATTTAAATGATCTTAGATCTTTACTCATCTTTAATTTGAACTTAAACATTCGTAAAAGTAACGCAGAAAGAACGCTTGTATTTCAGAGTCTTTAATTACTTAATTAAAGCTTAACAAAACATCTTTGTGATTCTTGAAACTTAATAATTTCAAGTGACATTAAGTTGACCTTTTGGGTCAAGACAAACCACGTGCACTCGCTCGCTCGCGTGAGGAAACCTGACTACTCTATATGGCAACCCAATCAGCGTCTAAAAAACAAATTCTATCCAGGAGGACCCTCGGCGTTTATGCCAGTCCAAAGGATATTTTCAAGATTCGCCTCAGCTGAAGTGGATGTAGAGGGACAAAAACAAGTTGTGATGGCTCCCATCAACAGGAATGTTCAACTGTAGTAACAATTGTTGCAAAGCTCATAAGAAAAATCCAGAACACACCCAGGCCTTTCATTTGACGCTTTACAGTATAGCTGAGTAAAAAGTGGCAAGATGATTTCTTCTTTTACATACATATAATTATTAGCATCGTTTGAAACTAATGAATAATACTACTAACAAAAAGTTTAACTGGTGTTATCATGAATTGCTTTTTTTATTCTCTTTTGTCACACACAATGTCGCTGAAAGTTCATCTCAGTACCAAAGCAGTAACTGTGAATTCCTGAAAGAAAACTGAAAAAAGTCTTTTCGCCTGATATCGGTGGACACTCCATCGCCTGCTGCATAACCCTGTGTCAAAGAAAAAATAAAACCTCACATCATAATGGTCAAAACTCTAGAAAGCTACGGCTACTGTCATTGAAAGCACCATTAATTTTGTGTGCAATTAGTCATTCAAGTGATACAAAATTTGCTGCTTAATATGTGTTGACTGGAAAAGGTGCAGAAACTCAAAGATCTGAGAAAAAGCTGTCACTCGCATTCTGCACCATAAACAATAAAATCTCACATCAGAATTGTTGAATCCCTAGAAAGCTATGGCCACTGTCATTGAAAGCACCATGTTATTCAAGTAACACAAAATCTGCTGCTTAATATGTGTTCACTGAAAAGGGTGCAGAAACTCAAAGATCTGACAAAAAGCCGTCACTCGCATTCTGCACCATAAACAATAAAATCTCACATAATAATTGTTAAAATTCTAGAAAGCTATGGCCACTGTCATTGAAAGCACCATGTTATTCAAGTAACACAAAATCTGCTGTTTAATACGTGTTCACTGGAAAGGGTGCAGAAACTCAAAGATCTGACTAAAAGCCGTCACTCGCATTTTGCACCATAAGCATAAAAACTCACATCACAGTCACTGAAAGCACCATGTCATTCAAGGAACACAAAATCTGCTGCTTAATATGTGTTCACTGAAAAGGGTGCAGAAACTCAAAGATCTGACAAAAAGCCGTCACTCACATTCTGCACCATAAACAATAAAATCTCACATCATAATTGTTAAAATTCTAGAAAGCTATGGCCACTGTCATTGAAAGCACCATGTTATTCAAGTAACACAAAATCTGCTGCTTAATACGTGTTCACTGGAAAGGGTGCAGAAACTCAAAGATCTGACTAAAAGCCGTCACTCACATTCTGCACCATAAGCATAAAAACTCACATCACAGTCACTGAAAGCACCATGTCATTCAAGGAACACAAAATCTGCTGCTTAATATGTGTTCACTGAAAAGGGTGCAGAAACTCAAAGATCTGACAAAAAGCCGTCACTCACATTCTGCACCATAAACAATAAAATCTCACATCATAATTGTTAAAATTCTAGAAAGCTATGGCCACTGTCATTGAAAGCACCATGTTATTCAAGCAACACAAAATCTGCTGCTTAATACGTGTTCACTGGAAAGGGTGCAGAAACTCAAAGATCTGACTAAAAGCCGTCACTCGCATTCTGCACCATAAGCATAAAAACTCACATCACAGTCACTGAAAGCACCATGTCATTCAAGAAACACAAAATCTGCTGCTTAATATGTGTTCACTGGAAAGGGTGCAGAAACTCAAAGATCTGACAAAAAGCCCTCACTCGCATTCTGCGCCATAAGCAATAAAATCTCACATCAGAATTGTTGAATCTCTACAAAGCTATGGCCACTGTCATTGAAAGCACCATGTTATTCAAGTAACACAAAATCTGCTGCTTAATATGTGTTCACTGAAAAGGGTGCAGAAACTCAAAGATCTGACAAAAAGCCCTCACTCGCATTCTGCACCATAAACAATAAAATCTCACATCATAATTGTTAAACTTCTAGAAAGCTATGGCGACTGTCATTGAAAGCACCATGTTATTCAAGTAACACAAAATCTGCTGCTTAATACGTGTTCACTGGAAAGGATGCAGAAACTCAAAGATCTGACTAAAAGCCCTCATTCGCATTCTGCACCATAAGCATAAAAACTGACATCACAGTCATTGAAAGCACCATGTCATTCAAGGAACACAAAATCTACTGCATAATATGTGTTCACTGGAAAGGGTGCAGAAACTCAAAGATCTGACAAAAAGCCGTCACTCACATTCTGCACCATAAACAATAAAATCTCACATCATAATTGTTAAATTTCTAGAAAGCTATGGCCACTGTCATTGAAAGCACCATGTCATTCAAGGAACACAAAATCTGCTGCTTAATATGTGTTCACTGGAAAGGGTGCAGAAACTCAAAGATCTGACTAAAAGCCGTCACTCGCATTCTGCACCATAAGCAATAAAATCTCGCATCACAATTGTTAAATCTCTAGAAAGCTATAGCCACTGTCATTGAAAGCACCATGTCATTCAAGTAACACAAAATCTGCTGCTTAATATGTGTTCACTGAAAAGGGTGCAGAAACTCAAAGATCTGACAAAAAGCCGTCACTCGCATTCTGCACCATAAGCAATAAAATCACACATCATAATTGTTGAATCTCTAGAAAGCTATGGCCACTGTCATTGAAAACACCTGATGTTATTCAAGTAATGCAAAATCTGCTGCTTAATATGTGTTCACTGGAAAGGGTGCAGAAACTCAAAGATCTGACTGAAAGCCGTCACTCGCATTCTGCACCATAAGCAATAAAATCTCACATCACAGTCATTGAAAGCACCACGTCATTCAAGGAACACAAAATCTGCTGCTTAATATGTGTTCACTGGAAAGGGTGCAGAAACTCAAAGATCTGACAAAAAGCTGTCACTCGCATTCTGCACCATAAACAATAAAATCTCACATCAAAATTGTTAAATTTCTGGAAAGCTATGGCCATTGTCATTGAAAGCACCATGTTATTCAAGGAACACAAAATCTGCTGCTTAATATGTGTTCACTGGAAAGTGTACAGAAACTCAAAGATCTGACAAAAAGACGTCACTCGTATTCTGCACCATAAGCAATAAAATCACACATCATAATTGTTGAATCTCTAGAAAGCTATGGCCACTATCATATTTGAAAGCACCATGTTATTCAAGTAACACAAAATCTGCTGCTTAATATGTGTTGACTGGAAAGGGTGCAGAAACTCAAAGATCTGACTAAAAGCCGTCACTGGTATTCTGCACCATAAGTAAAAATCTCACATGATCAGCACCTGGTCCTGCCTGGTGGCCTCTGGCAACCTGCCTTTGTTTTGGTGACGGTGAAATAATTACTGTTTTTCGAGTATAGGCTCTCCAAGAAGATACCCCTTATATGAGAAAGTGATGAGTGAGTACAAGAGAAACGCAACTCGCTTTTCTAGGTAAATTTTGTGTACGCTTGAGCGTTTTCTGCTTACCAGATGCATATGAATAACCTTATTGATGGTACAGCTTATACTGAGAGGAAATCGATGTCAGCTTAAATTAGCTTAAATAAATCGCTCTGTAGGTTTTTTTTCTGGAAGTATTAAACATGCATCGCTATTTATACATTGACGATAAATAGAACTACGTAAAAATTACCTTTTGATTCCAGAATTTCAAGCCCACACGCTTTCAACAACGTTTAACTGTGATTTTCCCGCCGATCTCCCGCCAGTGACGCCAGTTTGAGCCATTGTGTTACTGGTCAGCGACAAAAGATCAGAGCGAGGCGCGCGCAACAGGGGACCAAATATAAAAATATTCGAAAAATAGCGGGCAAATCCTCTAAACTCCTTCGTCTTCTACTTTTGAGAGTTCGTTTGTCGCTTTTAAAAGGCTAGATCGTTAGCGCTTACGGCTTGCATCAATACTTTTTTTTCTCGGAATTTATAATTGTTATTGTACAGCGAGAAAGCTTGTAGATCTTCGGAATTTTTTATTGTTATTGTGCAGCTAGAAATCGGTTCGCTATGGAAGGTCGATCGGCTGTAGATTGTGTTATGCTACTAGAGGAACTAATCCAAAGTAACCGAAAACTCGCCGCAGAAAATGAGAAGCTGCGGTGAGAACACGAGGCAGCTAGAAGAAATCAAACACAAGTCCTGCAAAGGATTGAGCAAAGGTTAAATGAGCGAAAGCTCCTGGCGAAAGACATCGCTCCAGACGCAGGGCTGCCGCTCATACAATTGCCTTTCCTGTGGCATGCAGGGTAAGTATCAAAAGAAACGTGCATTTGAATGACGCAAAGACGATTTGCTATAAAAAAATTTCATGAAAATTGTACATTACAAAACTGAAATGACTGAAGTAGGTGGACATGCAGAATGAGGCGTAAAATTGGTTTGAATGGTTTTGGCGCGCAAATCTTGCATAAATTACTATCGTTCGGTCAGATACACGACACTCGTGACACTTTAGGCTGAATAGGTCACTTTTATTTCATTTTACTTATTTCTTTGTTTGAGAAAAAAACCTGCACGGTTTTAATACACAAGGAAGAAATTTGTGTAACAAGATTAAGGAAGATTTCATTTGTATTTTCTACCTCGGCCGCCACAAAAAATGTATGCATGTAATAAATTACTGTACGATTACATGGGCATATGAGGTGGTGACAATAACTGACAATAAGCGTGGAACGTCATTTTTTTTTTTTGCATTGCAGGAGTTAATTTTTTCAAGCCACCTGTTTCTTGAGTGAGACATAAATGACATCAAAACTAAACCAAAGCAGACATCTGAATTTTTAATGCTAAATTCTGGCTCCTGTCCCCGAGAGTCATAACCTGGGATGTCTTTTGACCAGCATATTATTGTCAAACTGAGAAAGGGATGTGATTTCTTTCATTTATAGAGAACACTAAGGCAAATATACAAGGTCCTTTCTAAAAAGGAAGACTTTCACGGCTTCTACCTTGATGAAGAGTAAGTATAATAAACATCTATCAAATTCAAACAGGTCTTAGCTTCACTTAAAAAACCAAGTAAGTTCTAATTTGAAGAGAAAGTAAATTACTGCACATACATCAATGGTAGGCCACACCTGGAGGGAATCTATGCAGATTTGGAACAGGTCAATTACACGTAGTATAAAATAAAAGCCAACTGAAATAGTAATGACAGGAGGATTTATTAGTACCTCAGGATGTTTCTTTGGAAGCCACTACAGAACTTGAAAGGGTCAACAGTGAACACCTCCACCTCATGAATGACAATAGGACCCATTGTATTATGCCTTCCAACCCAATTTAGCTCTAGTTTTTCACCTGCCTTTTTTGTAGATTAACCCTTTAACCCCAAAAATCAACTTGCATATTCTTTACACTGTTCTCTGTTCATTGGTGATCATTTTAGTTTATTCTGTTTGATTTGTCTGTGATACTGTATTAGAAATTTGGTGCTGGTCGCTGCTAGGGGTTAAAGGGTTAAAAAGAATTTCCTTCAGAAGTTCAAAATGCCAGTGTCATTGAACATTGATGCCAATAATATGTACCTGATACCTGCCAAAGAGACAATATGTATCAAAGATCAAGAAAGTTACTTTGCTTTGGTGATATATCTTTTTAGAGTAAGCTCTGACAACAACGCTACTATCTTCCAAAGAGTAATGGCCCAAGTGTTACACCAACATGGAGGAGAGGAAAGGTGTCCATAGACAAGGGCCGTGATGGAAGGTACACTGTCATTCACATAAGGCAATTCACAGTCCAACCTTTATAATTGCTGTAGTCACCCTTTGGGAAGGGGCAAAATGACGGGTTAGTTTGACCCATTTAATACAGGTTCAAAACGCTTTAAGGGACATTAACAAAAACACTACAAAGATACAGTAGTGAGTGAGAGTAGCGAGGGATTAATCCTTACCTCAAGGAGTTTTCGATTCCTCCAGATGAAGAGAGAAAAAAAGTCAACAATAAAACAGTTCATTACAAGGAATGCACAATTTCATTTAGTGCAGCGGTATGCTAATTGTTTTAAGAAGTGACCATTTAAACAGCCTGAAAGTGGGACTGCTTAATGTAAATTTACCTGTATTCATATGTATAATAGTCACACATCATTAAAGTCGGACAAATTTAGGCCATCTCCTGTTTATTTTAATTTTGGAACAGATCACATGATATAATATAAATATAACATCAATTAAGATTTTAACCATCCAGTGGTAGCTTCATATCATTTGTAAAACATTGACAGGTTGGCCGAAGTGTTTATAAGTGATGAATTACCTTTGTCCTTAAGCAAAGAAGAAAATCTTAATTGTTTTACTTTTATTTGCTGGGCACCCTGAATTTTATAAGTTAGAGTAATTGGTTCCCCTACAATACATCATTTCCTAGAATACAGTCCCCTGTACTGATGTAAGCCTGTGCTAATGCTAGACACCTTACTTTACCATTACAACAGCTGCTCTACAAAGATATTTTCAGTCATTAAATGAGACTAGAAGACTGAAAAATTCTGAAAAACATGAAGATCATAAAAGGAGGACACGCATGTTGCATGATTTCTTAGAGTTACCTGATGTAAACCTTGGATGCTTAATTGGTTTAAGTGGCTTGTTATCTCTGAAAAGGCAGTAAATAACATATCTACTGACCATATCTTTTCATTCAAAAAACAACAATTTATTATAAGATTTAATTTTTGTGATGTACAGAATAATAAGAGAGATTAGTCTGGATATTGTTTGTTTAAGTCTCATCTAATTATACTCTTTTGTTACATATCCAATGGTGGAATCAGTTGGATTGTATTGTAATGAGTTCTGGCCCACCACCTACTCTTATTCTGTTTCTTTCTTTTAGAAGTTAACAAGGAGGACAGCTGCCTTTGAAATGGTGAAATGGGGCGACAACCATGAGAATGGAAGAAGAGGTCCTGGTGATGGAGACAATGAGCAGCGAGGATAGCTGTTGTAAAGCTGACGAAGATGGCAAGGAGGCACTAACCAGTTATAAGATCAAAAAGCTCCCTTGGGAGAGTACAGCTCTGCGAAAAATCAAAAAGCAGCTGATAAAAAGTATAACAAGAGGCTAAGAGGGCACGTGACAGGATTGTGCCTAGAACTGTAAGGAGCCGTCAGAACGTGACCCTCCTGAAATTCGTGAATGGTCCCTTAATGCTCAAGCATCAGATCTTGATTCTTCAACCGCACTTCATCTGTGTGATTGCAGGACTATCTTCATAAGTTGACAATGAACAGTGTTGTGAATTTATTTTATAAATTAACGATCATCAAACCTATTTGATAAAGATGTACTTTTAACTTTTTGAAGTTGTGGTCCTTGATCTATTTTTTTTTTCACCACAAAGTGGTTTTTCCATTAAAGTAGGCAGTGAATAATTTCAAAATAAGAATTAGACATTATTGACAATAAACTGATTTTAAAGTAGATTTTGTTTGTTTCACTGTATTTATTTACTTCTTTAAGAGGAACCATGCAGTCATGGATTCCAGTGTTCAACTTATGATATTTTTCTCCGACAAGCTGAGATACCCCAGTTTTATTCCCTTTATCTTATTCTCTTCTTTGGGGCTTTTAATGAACATTAAAATAGATCGAATTGAAGGCACATTAAAAATGACAAACGCGGAGTATTATGAAACATTAAAATGGAATTAAAGGCAAATTAAAGATGACCTGGTGCCTTTATCAAACATTAAAATAGAATTAAAGACAAATTAAAGATGACTTGGGGCTTTTATAAAACATTAAAATAGAATTAAAGACAAATTAAAGATGACATGAGTCTTTAATACTACATTAAAGTAGAATTAAAGGCAAAGCAAAGATATACCACCAAGCATTTTTGAAAAATTAAAGCTATACTAAAGTTGACACAAAAGATTAATTAAATGTTACTTTAGAACGCTTTAGGAGCAGTTCCTAAAGTTTATGAAATGAACCTTTCAGTTACCTTTCTTCTTAACTTAAAGCGGTTATGAAATGGTTCATAAGTTAGCCTTTAATTTTCACCTTAAAGTCTATGAAAAGTGTATTTCATGTCTTTAGTAAATAAATTAAAGATAGTTTAAATACTTCTTTTGTGTATCTTTAGGTAAGCTTTAAAACAAATTAATTCTATTATTTCTTCCTGTGGTGGTTGGTTTTGTATGAGATTACACTTTTGCATTAAAGTTTCTTTTATAATAGACACTAAGGGCTTGTATTGTGTCACGAAAGGCAATATTTCTTTTTCTTCCTTGTTGTTTTGTTTCAGGAGCGCTGCTTTTCTCCTGTGAGTTTTACTTCTAATAGCAATTTTTATTTCAAAATTATGTGGCCAGCCTCTGTCCATCAACCGCTTTTTGAAATCTGAAATACTTTCTCAGAGGAGTTTGTTCGTAGGATACTCAAGGCCAAATCCATTGGTCAAATCCATTTTAACATTCGGTGGGTGGTAAGAGGTGAAAATGTATATACGTCTTTACGTCAATGATAGCTTTTTCTCATTTTTCGTTGAATGTTGTGCCTTGGTATACAACGGGGTATAAAAAGATTGTCTCAGTGTCACATATTTCGGGCGTAAATTTCATAGCCAGTAGAGCAGTAGGGTGAAGTAAGTTTACTTGTTCCGTGAATTTGAAGAAATCTACCATATGTCTGGTTTACTTATGTCCCATAGCGAAAAAATATCATCCATGTAGCATTTTCAAACAGTTGGTTTAAAGACGGTTTTGCTTAAACTTTGTGTTTCAATATATGCGGCCATGAAAATTTTGGAAAGGAAACTGCTGTATGTGCTCATCGCGGTACTGTGGTTTCTTACCGATAGTGCTTTCCATTAAACTGGAAAGAATTTTCTTTCAGGATTAATCTAAACATTTCTCGGACCGAATCAAGAAATGTTCAGTTTTTTCAGCTTTGTCTTTTCAATAAAATATATAAAGTCGGTAGCATCTTTAAGGACTGTGGCTTCTGTGATTATGATATTGGTTGTAGTAATGTAGCCGTATCAACAAAAGAGTAAGTTCTTTCTGTTAGACCATCTGATGAGTCAAATTTAAAGAGGTTACTTCCTAACGGCTGGAAAAAAATGCAAAATGCTCTTTTTTTCTGAAACAAATATTGATAGTGTCAGCCCATGTCGGTAGTCGGTTAATATTTTTCCTGTCGGTAGTCGGTAATTTTTTACTCGTTTTGTCGGTAGTCAGTAATATTTTTAGCCCTTTGTCGCTAGGCGGTTAACCCCATTCAGACCTTCCATCAAGATTAAGCTCTATTTGAAGATAAATATTAACTCCGTCGCAAAGGCTGGTCTAGTGCTGCGCTGAAGCACAGTCTTCGTAAATAGGAGCTAGCAGTTGTTAATGATGATACGATATCAAACTTCATAAGCCCTTCAAAGGATGATCAAGTATAAGTTCGATTACCAGGTCAGGGGCAGTTCAGGGAATCGAGCCCGCAATACAGTTAATAGTGGAGGAACAGCAAGACCTGGGGAAAACGACGTAAATGTTGCCCAAGAGTCAAGGTGAATGGAGATGATAAAATTATGGAAATGTAAACTCATTCGAACAGTCGTTTTCCTTTCTTCTTATTCAGGAATAAACTACGGCTATTCCCTTCTTTTCCTCAGCGGTAGTAGGTTAAGCGAAATAGGCGAGCGCTCTTGAAAATCCCCAACCAGTGACACGCGTCTCGCTTCTTCCGCGCGAGGCAATTTTCACGCCTACCTCGCCCTCTCAACTTTCCCTGAGGAAAATGAGGAAAGACTTTTAGCCTAGATCTCGAATATATGTTATACTCACCCATTCTGTATAATGGTATAATAAGGCCAGGAATAGAAACTTCCATATTTTGTGGCTTTGCAGTTTTCGGCCATGATCACCAGGTTGGCACTGGACTCCACACTGTACTTTACGTAAAGATACTCATTTAACGCGACTGATATTGGGTAGTCGTTCTCCGTATAGGGAGTGGCAAATACTGCAGTCTTGTAAAAGTCCATTTTGAAAGTGAAATTCCCATATCCAGCTAACAAGGAAGCAAAATATAATAAGATTAGCCTTCTTTTTGGTTTGGAAATAGAACCTCCGTCAAAAATCCTTTGGACATTTACAGTTCTCTGGGCATGGTCAATGTGGCCCTATTCTCTTGTTGTTTAGGGGCGGTCGAATATTTTCATCTTTGTGAAGGGAAAGACGTGGGTTTTGTCTCAGGTAAGTTCAATGATATGATAACTTCAGGGTAGTCTTATAACGATGCCGGAATAGAATTAAATTATCCTGTTACAGGGGATTGAGCTGACTAAAACACTGATCATTCGACCCATGGTGCATGCACTCTGAATCATCTCCCGAACTTTACTTGAAACACAGAGGGCCAGTTGTTTAAACGGAGTTTAGGCAGTGCTCAACAAAACCGCGTTCTAAGCCATCTTCAGTTTGCCAAACGCCTTTGCGTAAACACCATTTATCGTGAACAGATTCATGAAAACATTGATCTTGTACATCACGTGACATGTGAGCAGTAAGTAAGCTTAATGACTTGTACGTGAAGGCTTAAAATTGTCCTTGAACTGAAATGGAGGGAAAAAAGTGTGTCTAAAATTTCAATTTCAATATTTCTTGTTGGAAGAAAAAAAAAATGAATAAAGCATAATCAAAGAACCTTCTGATCCAATGAAAATATGCTTGGGTTGAAATTGAATGCTT